TTATACTCAATTGCTTAAAAATAATTACTGTACCTATACCTTTTTCATTGACAATTTCCGTAAACAAACATCAAAACTGGTTATATAAATTGCTATTCTAAAATTGCAAAATGTGTATAGTAGTATACCTACTAGCAGATGTAAAATACATTTTTTATGTCTTAGATCAAACCACGGATTATGGTATCAGTGATCCAGAACCTTCAACATCAGCGGCATCATCAGACATCCTTTCTGTCACGTTAGATGAAAATATTCGAGAATCGTCACCGTCAACCTTAACAGCTTCGACTTCATTCATTGATGTTCATAAAGACTGCAAATCTAAATTTTTGCGATATGAAAAAATGTATATAAGAGAAAGACAAAAGGCCAGACGGTACAAACAAATGTTATGTAACATTAAGAAGGAAAACAAAACCTTAAAAGATAAGGCAAGCAATATTCCAGATGAATATCCTATATTAAGAAATATTTTTAATGAGGATCAAGTAGAGGTTTTGAAGAAACGAAAAAGCAACCGATCAAGTAAGGGCTTGAAGTGGTCAAATTCTACAATTACTAAATCGCTCAAACTCAAATTCAGTTGTGGAGGTAATGGCTATGAGGAGCTGCTAAAACAAGGCCATCCTCTTCCTTCAAAACGAACCCTGCAAAGAAGACTACAGAATCTAACATTTGATAGTGGGATTTTAATTGAAGTTTTCGAGTTTTTACAAACAAAAGTTGAATCATTTTGTGAATTTGAAAAAGATTGTGTTTTAGTGTTAGACGAAATGGCCATCACTCCAGGCAACACGTACGATTCATCTCTTTCCAAATATTTTGGTGATGTGACTTTACCAGAGCATACTGGAATAGCAACTCATGTGCTAGTTTTTATGTTGGGTGGAATTACTGTGCGTTGGAAACAGGTCGTTGCTTACTATTATACTAGCAATTCGGTGAATGGTACAGTTTTTAAAGACATTATAATGGAAATCCTTAAAAGAGCGGAAGAATTAAAACTGAACATTCTAAGCGTAACATCAGATATGGGTGCTTCTAATCAAGCATTGTGGAAAGCATTGGGTGTTATGGCAGGAAGGCATTCTGAAACTAAATGCAAAATTCCCCACCCAATAAATAACAATGAGTATGTATATATGTTTGCTGATGCACCACATCTTTTTAAGAATATTAAATCTATGCTTTTGTCAAATAAAATAATAAGAATACCCGACACGCTAAAAGAAAAATATAAATTGCCCACCAATGAAATAAGAGCAAATCATATTTCGGAAATTGCGGCATACCAAGAAGAACACGAATTTAAATTGGCACCAAGATTGTCAGAAGCTGATTTGCTGCCATCACATTTTAATAAGATGAAGGTATCTACTTCTACCAACATAATTAGCCACAATGTTAGCAGTGCCCTCAAGTTTCTTGCAGAAGAAATGAAAAAACCCGAGTACTTGACAACTGCTTGGTTTTTGGATCAAGTCGAACAATGGTTTTATTTAATGACATCCCGACATCCATCGAGTGCATTAAGCAAGTATAATAAATGTGCATATACGGATTCCATAACCTTTTTAAAGGATTTTATGCACATTTTTAAATCTTTAGAAGTTGGAGTGAAGAAAGTTTGGAAACCTTCGCAGACAGGTGTGTTAATTACAACGCAGTCACTGTTAGAACTCCAAGAACATCTTCTAGAAAACAAACAATATAAGTTTATTCTGACTAGTAGGTTTACTCAGGACTGCTTGGAAAATCTGTTTTGTGTTTTAAGAAGCAAACAAGTAGTACCAAATGCTTTACAAGTCAAAAACCATTTAAAGTTGATTTGTGTCGCGCAGTATTTAAAAAACCCCATCAGAGGCAGCTACGATGAAGATGATAGAGAATTTTTGTCAGGTTTTTTAGACACCTTACCTCATCTTATCCGAAAATATGATGAAGTAAAGATTCCAGAACAAGTAAATTACGATGGATATAATTTAAATTTTAGTGAACTAAATTCTTTGTACAACGTTTGTGGATATTTAGTCCACAGTATAATGAAAACTTCAAAAACATGTCCACGATGTTTGGCGGCTGTGGGTTCCAAAAAACCGATAAAAAATGTGTTTTCTAAGTTTACTAATCTTAAAAGATTCAAAGAAAATACACTTTTCTTCTGTACAGAAGAATTTTTTCATTTTGTTTTGCAATTAGAATGGATATTTCAAAAGTTTTTTCCCATAATTTCAACTCAAAATATTAATTTAAAGGAGTTTTACTTGGAGAAAATGAACTCCAAAGATGTTTCAATCCCCGAATGTCACCGGTTAAAATATAAATTTATTAATAGATTTGTAACATTCAGGTTAAAAATAAGATCAATGAAACGCAAGGCCTCAAGTGCAATATACGCCAGCAAATCAGTTGCTGGCCATTGTAAATAAACACATTTTTCTATGAATGAATTTTGTCTTTACCTATTTCTAAATCTCTGAGAACTGTTGTCATGTCCCTAACACAGTCACTGTACGTCCAACTATAGCGTCTAACCATTCCCCAGAGTTTCGTCACAATCAGTTAGTGTAAACCTCAGAGGTGTAACCAGTACTTACTACAGTCGCTGTAAATCGGATAAATGGTTGGCGCCATCTATTAGTTATGATTGTTATTATTAGTTTGCTCCAATATGGCCGATTTATGATAAGTTGTCGCCACTGTCCCTATAAAGTCACTGTAGTACAGATGATATTCAACAAATAAACCATACCCCTTCTGAGAGGTAGCTAATTCGGTAGTTTCCATTGCTGAAATTTTGTTGAATAGAGTGGAGTACACCTCATTGATATCAGACATTGTTGTGGACATTCTTTTTGATCCTTGTGCCATGTACGCCCTCTTATATAGGATCTCTTGTCCATAGTTCATCATGGTGGATGAAACCCAACTTACATCTGTCTATGTTACCAATCCTAAATGTCCGGCGCTTTGATTTAATGTCTCAAAATACCCAAAAAAAGGAAGGTATTACCTCGAAGAAGGCGTTCAACAGAACCTGCGAGTTCGACACTTAGTCAAAAAGATGGGGAACAAACAAAAGCACCGGTAAAAGAAAAATACAGTTTAGATTGATAGTATTAAGGCCACTGCGCGCACTTTTTCACCTCGTGATTATCATACCGCAAAAACAAGAATCTTTAATATAGTGGCGGAAATTGAAAGAAAAGATATATTTTCTTCCAACAATCAGTCCTCTGGAAATCAGCATCATTTTGAAATGGCAGACTACAATCATGTACATTCAGGATGTGAATATAATACGAATTATAACAATGAAGGCTGTCCTTCGTCACACTCTTCATATACACAATCACATTCTGCTTCAGTAACCATACATACACCTTTATCATCTGCGTCATCCTATTGTGAACATTTCTTTCCAGATACACCTCGCGTGCTCTTGTATATTGTAACAGAAGTTGTAACAATTCTATATTAATATGTAAAAAAAATGTTTTTTTGTTTTTTTTTCCGCTTTTCAAGATGTCATGAACCCATATCTTCTTGCGTTTTTTGTTTTTTTGCTCTTCATCCAAACATACGGCAATTGCTAAATTGACTATTGAAAATGTTTCCATTTTACAACACGGATCTGTCGACGTTTTTGATGACACTGACTAAAATGAGCGCCAGTGAATTGACTGTGAACGTACTGTGACCTGACCGTAGAAATACACGTTACAATAATTGACCGGACCGTGATCTGACCGTAATGTGAGCGACCACGATACACTTACACACGGTATGCTCATTATTTTTCTCAAACGCGTTTTCTACTGCGCATTACGTCACCTGCGAACGTGTGGCGCCAAAATTCAAATGTTTACGCACGGAAAAATCCAGTACAGATGTCACGCGTGACAGTTTGCACCTTTTCAGTTGTATTTACGAGTTTTATAGCGTTAATTTGTTGATAGCTAAGCATTAATTTGTTGATAGCTAAGTAATCATTAGTGAAAATTCCAAAATGCCAGGTTGTGTGTGGAAATAAAATAGGTACTTTCGATTTCCGAAAATTGAAGACTTTTCTCTAAAATGGATTGTTGCAAGTCGTCGTAAGGACAAAATTACCTTGAAAAATGGTGTTGCATTATTATTAAGTGGTGTGTTTAAGTCTTTCCATTGCTGTTTAATCCTATATCCTGTATTTGTTATGAACATTTTGAAGCCAGCCGTTTTGAAGCACCGCAAGGGAACGACTCCTTAATTAGACCTACTTTTAAAAACAGCGGATGTTTGAAACCTGATGCTTTACCTACTTTAAAACTACCGCGTAATAATGAAAATCAAAATAAAAGGGACACGGAGGAGCGATTAGATCTTTTGATAATGCATGAATTATATAATTTTTACTGAAACAGCCGCATTTCATGTTTAGGGCCAATGTTTATGGTTAGAGTTTATTTCATACGATCACGAAATCCCAGAAATAACTTACGCGAGGATCTCTACACAAATCATCAACTAACCTTGTGATTTGTCGATCTAAGCATCGTAATTTTGCTCTTATATTCTGTGGTTTTGTTCGCACGTGACGTCACGCTAGATGCGCAAGAGCATACCGTTGTAAGTGTATCGTGTGAGCGACAATGTGAATTGGCCTTAAGAAAACGAAACACCAACTCGCTAGACCTAGCTGCAGCTGTCACAACTAATAGATGTTAGATCTGTCATTGTTATGGCAACTTTGCGTTTCATAAATTATACGTCGTCTTCCTGTGAGGCTACATTTCTATTGGTCGTAAACTTCTATGTTGTATCGAAATTACCATCATTTAGGTACAGGTAGCAAATGTTTAATATATCAAAGTATAGGAGCAGAAACATTTTATATACGCATAAGATTGAATGAGTGATGCCATTTTCGTAAATAATGAAAAATAATGTACAACTGTATCTGTCTGTACTTGAAATTAAGGGTTCGCACCGTGTAGCTACAAAAAAGGAATATGATGTCTTCCGATCTGCGTTTTCCATTATAATTGTGTTCGAGTGGTAGCAAAACATGATATATCTCTTGGTATGTTTCGTAGTAAATAGTGGCACAAATACTTTTTACTGTATATAATTTCTTTTCTTTGTGAAAAGAAGGTGGTATAATTTTCTTGAAAGTGCTGCTCGGTGGTGCGTTCCAGTTATAGCGGAAATATGGTAATCTACTTGTATTAAAGCCGGCTCCTGCCTTGCTTCTAGATAAATCTTTTCAAGCGAGACCGTTTCAAGTGTAAATGGTGGTGACGCTTCAGCTTGGCGTGTCTTATACACGAGGTGAGATTTCGCCTTATAGCTAGCTATTAATTCAATTCTGCAACCCAATCAATATTTACACATTGACATTATCGGAGTTAAAAAGGCGGCCGACCGTAATCAGAGCAACTAATTTTAATATTTTTAGAAAGTGGTTGAGGCAAGAAATTGAACCTCGTTATAAAAATAACAAAGTGTCGCTGTTAAATTAAAGTAAACAAAAAGGACAAAAACAAAGAAAGCTGAGAATGTTCAATCTCCGCACACCTTAGCTATAGTCGCTGATTTCCATAAATTTGAAATTCAATTGGATATATACACACTTAAAACGATAAAATTTGCGTTACGTAGAATCGTGTTACCGCGCTCATATTTAAACAAGATTAGGCTAATTCGGAAGAAGTTACAATTAATCTGAGTCCTTTCCAGAAAAGGATTGCGTTTGCATTTTCCCATTTTCACCGTTTCCCTATATTAACTTTGTATAAGAGAGAACGTTAACAATAAAGCGGTTCCCTTCGTATAAAAATGAAATTTAATTTGCGTCGGTAGTGAGATATCCGGAACAAAAATGCACTTGAGTATAAAGAAAGATCTGATTTAATCGGGCATTTATAGGGACCTCTGTCTCCTGGACAAGAAAGGAGCTAGGATTAAAACAATGCAAAAGAAACCCCGCATTTGCATACAAAGCAGGTCTTAGAAAGCAGCGATCGCGTAAAGTGAATTTACTGAGGCGGCTGATGGCTGTTCTTTTACATGCTTTGCTTTTCAATAGTGTATAACGGCGAGTTTACTCTTTAGATCGTCTCATTTCATTAAGCTCTCCGTCGATTTTAATAGTAAAAATGAGTAGTCGAGTTTCTCAATAATTTCCGAACAGAATCAGTTTGTGTTGAAGAAGAAATAAGAGAAGCGAAAAATCCATAAAAATTAAAACTGTTCCTTTGAGGCTTTTGTACACAATTAATAAATCACTGTCGATACACACTTGATTGGCAGCGTAATTTTTGCCATAAAGAAAATTGATTGTGTCCTGTATTTCTTATATAATATCCAATGGCACACGTTTGTAAAAGTAGGGCTTTTGACTGCCGAAAAAGTGGTTTAAATCGTTAAATTAAAATGAAATATTATTTCCCTTTGCGGCGAAACGATGTGGGAATAGCACTGTATCGCCCTCTATTATTCTCAGGTTAACCCTATGGTTAGTTATATTTAAATAGTAGTACACAACAGGATTTCAAAGATGTTGATACATATCATGCATAAATAATTGGGCACCCGCATGTTGTAGATAAGAAAAAGTTATTTCCATTCGCCGATTATTTCGGAGGGGCAATTTCGATATGGCCCTGGCCGACATAACCATACCCGACAGAGTTAACACTTATATGCAAATCGCATCCCATTTCACAAATTGCGTCTGCCGAAGTGGAGTTGTATCAATTTAACAATAAATTTTTCTATCCGTCGTTTACGTGAAGAGGTGATAAAAATCATTACTGGTTCTTCAGTTATATTATTATTCTGAGAGTGTTCAGCGAAACGTATTAACAGTTAGTTGGCAAAATCACATAAGAAAAATAAACAGAAAATGATTTACTAGCTCTCAGCAAACTTGTTGCGCAATTTATCTAAAAACGTAAACATAATGATAGATGAGAAAAATGATTACGATGCAAAATATCATGCGATCACAGACGGCAACTTCAAATTGTGACTATTTATTTGATGCGATATTAATATACTCAGAATACGCCAACAAAAACCTTCAAATCTGGAATAACATCGCTAAAGAAAAATGATTGAGAGTGAACCGCCGGAAACATTATCTCCACGATAGAATAAATTAGAATGAAACGCGAGAGATTATACAGTGATATTCATTTAGAAGTAGACACAGGGAATTCCTATGTCTAGTTTTAAATGACAAAAACTCTTCTGAGGGACGCCTAATTTTATGCAACCAAAATAACTTCTTAAAACAAATGAAGATTTTCCTGTCATATTAATTAATCGAAATATTGCTTTAACTTCCGTATCTTTATTTTCGTCCGTGTGCGATGTATTAAGTGAAGGTTGATATTGTCAATTGGAATAGTATCGGTAATAGATTTAGAAGCGTTACTTGTCACTTTAAAATAAGTGGATATTTAAATGTGATCCACATAGGACAATCCTCAATTTTAACGTAGGACATGAAACTGAATGTTTTAATTTTTGTTGGAAGAGTTGGTTGATGTGTTGGTATGCCTGGTATCAACGTATTAGTGGCGCGGCGATCATTCCCTCTATAATAATATAGTGGAAGGCCTTTCCCCATACGTTCCGCATTTTAGGTGATTCGAAAGTCCCTAATTGGGTGCGAGTCCAAGTTAAGTCTGGTGTATAACCCAAGGATGCTTGGGCTTCTTTCCAAGATCGTAAATGACCAAATGCTCTAGATTGTCCCAGGGTTTCCCTTCTTTCCAACATAGTTCCAACCTGCGCCGGAACTCCTGAACATCTTTCAGACGATCCCCGGGGATAAAGCTTGGTCTCTCGAAGAGATAAAAAGCTTCACGTGTTATCCTTATAGCTTCACTATAGCAAGGATCAACAACGGGGGATGTGATAGGGCGGTCATACAACCAAAGGTTGACGTAATGCCCTTCCAGGGTATAATAACATCTGGTGTACTCATTAAATGCACTTCGTGATTCAACTAGATCACACAGTGCTTCCTCTACAAATGAGTCGCGTAACTGAGGTTTCTTCATAATCTTGTGAGGTCGGACCTATGTCAGGAACGTAAGCGTATTACTTTCGGGTCGGTCTATACTTTGCAGGATACGTAGCATAGTGTATTTTTGCATGAAAATTTCGCTCAATTAAAAACGCGAATAGGTGAATATAGTGTAGTGCTAATATTAACCAACACATTCCATAAGTTCCAGGGGATAATAAGATCTGGTGTAGGGGAGAAGGGGGGAATGCCGCCACCTTAAGAGAATATGGTTATTATTTGGAAGTACACGTTGTTTATTAACAAATGAATTTTTTTTTAAATACTTGAAACCTTTACCAACAAATATGTATCCTTAAAAAAGCGCTTCTCTAACACACATTTCAGTTGCTAAGGAATGAAAAAATGTCAGTTATGGCGGAATAACCCCGACGTGTGGGGGCAATACCGCCATTCATTTGGGGTAATACTGCCATTACCTTAAGTGCCTACCTTTTGTAGTAACTTGAATGAGGGTCAGTTGTTTTTTAATAAACTTTATTTGTTAATGCAAAACAAAACGTTTTTCTTCGAAAATAAAATATTTCAAAATCAAAATGATTGTAATTCTTAGGTTTCCAGTAAATTTCAAAATTGACAACAGTCACACTTGAAATTTCTGGCAGTAACAACCCCACTACACTCCGTATGGGCCCATTTTCCACAAAGGACACATCTGTACCACACTTGATCCTTGCCTTTCTCCCCACAAATAATATAAGCCTCTACTAAATTTTCCCAACGGTGACTGGCGGCATTCCCCCGCACTGATAATAGCACAATGTTTTTTCTACTAGTCACACAGTGTGTCTTTTGCAGAAAAATACATACCACTACGTAAGCACTAAACTGTGCCGATGCTGCACATGCCAAAATAAAGTGAACTCCTTTTTTCGTTTATCTACTCACCGCTATTTTTGAGAGCGCCAAAGTTATAACGAACCAAGTCGAATTTGTTGACTCGCACGAACGACGATCTGTCGGTATTGTAGATTCCTCAAATTTCAAGCAGACATTTAAAACCTATAGTACTAGAGGACAGTACATAATTAAGAATCATATTGGCGGCAACTACTAAAATAAGACGGGTGGCGGTATTCCCTCCTATGGCGGCATTCCCCCCCTCTCCCCTACTCCTAAACCTAAAAGCGTACTATTTACTATATGTCGTTTTTACTAAAATCTAGAATGACAATGAAAAATGCGTGCGCATGTTATATCGGTTACATAAAATTAGGCCTCTTGAGGAGGATTTTTGTCATTTGTAAAAATCCCATCTCTATTTCTAAATGAATAGCACTGTAACTCGAATATTTAACTACCGCAAAAGAGGATTTTTGAAACCTAAATAAGTCGGGAGTATAAGGTGGATGGATGGACCAGAGAAGTGGCCCCTTGCGAACAATGGTTCCTTCAGGGAGACTAATATCTTGAAGAGTCTCCGCTGCTTTTTCAAAGTTGTAATGTCACACATTCTCGTAGGAAAACAGTCTGCCATGCGGGGCACGGTGATCATGCCTGGTGGCAGTGCAGTCCCAGCTGCTCTTGGTCCAGTGTCGATATTATGTTTTTCTTCGAGCCATCCTAGGACTCGGCTCTATCCAAATAAGACATAAATACTTGATAACATTTTGTTTTAATAGAACGGCAATATAGTGGGATTTCCGGAAAATTTACGTTTTAAAAAGAAAAGGAGAAGTGGTTCGCGATAAGGCTTGTTTATAATGACAGGGAAGGGCGATTTTCTTTTGCACTTGACGCTCCGTTATGTTCGTTGACCGTTTTGAAATATACGTCGTCAAAGTTTTATGAAATTAATTAAGTAAAGGTATCCATTAGCATCAGCCAATTCCCCTCAATCCCATTATAGATCAACGTACATCGTTTATTGCACAAAAATTAGTGCGAGAAAAACGAAATTATATCTCTACCTTTTTTTATCGGCTCCTTACAAATAAGGGCGCTGATGTTTGTACGCTGCATAATGTATCTTAACATTTTGTACGATATTATCCTGGTTCAAGTTTCTTCAAAGTGATTTGGGTTGCTGATCTAACACAAAAATTACATAGGTACATTATTGGTGGGCTGCCAAATCCTATGTTAAAGTTACCAATGTATTAAGCTGACGCTGCTTTAACTTAAACCCCACACATAAATGTGTTATTTTTTAAACTATATTCTTAACATTTCGAGCAAGTACTAAGTATTTTTATTATATAATTAAGAATGATTACAAAATTATTGTAATTAATTGTGCAATTATTGTGGGTAATTGTACAATTTCCTTGAGATGAGGATGAAACGGCGTTTTTTTTCTGAAATTGTTGATTATTGTGGTATGATGCTCCTCGTCAAGTTGTAGATAACGTTTGGTGGAGCTTGCAGAAGAATGTCCTGTTATCTTTAACAACTGTTGATCGCCTACTCCACTTCTAGCTAGTTGTGTTATAGCAGAAGAACGATTTGAATGGTTTGTAATTTTTATTTTGGTAGGATCCAAGCCAATTTTTGGGCCGCTTGTTTTGTCCATTTTCCCATTTCGTTTTGCCCTACAGGGAGATTTTTATACCACCCCTTAGATAAAGATTCCTGCCAATTTGTATTAGGTGTCAAAAAGAAACCATCAATTTGGATATTTTCAGTTCTTTTTGACATTAATTTATGAAAAAGACGTATCGGACATTTGTCAGTGTCATTTGGTGTTAGAAATTTGCTATCGGCTAACCTGCGCGATCCACCTTGTGTGGTTTTAGAAATGATTGGGTTATATTCTATCCTGCCAGTATAATTTCCATAATGACCTAGTTCTTCTCTAAAATATTGCACCAATTCTTTCCTGAGAGCTACAGAAGATGATTTTCTCTTTTCGGGAATATTTTGAAGTTTTCGACGTTTACAATTACGGGCGTCTAGTGCAGTCTTCAATTCAATGTCCGGAAGGGATCAATTTTTGTATTGTAAATCCTTGAAATATTTCTCCTGGATAAGTTTGGCGATTCCATTCCAGACGTTTTGATAACAGATTCTTTAATAATAATAATAATCTTTATTAAGGGTTTGGCGAAGCCAATTAAGGCCAGTTTAACCCCCCTCTACATATTCAGTCGGTACAAAACATACAAAAAAAGAGATAAATTTAACGTAAATTGACTTTCATTTAAATTAAAATATAATATTAGTCCATGTCCAGTGTATTTAAGAACCGTAGACCCCCTCGCGAAAAAACTAAGCTCGACGACGAACTACGACTTTTACTTCCTCTAAACCGGTCTAAAGGATCAAGTTCGGTCGACTTTCCCACGTGTCCGTCGACGGTAGGCCGACGGGCGTCGGTCCGAAGACCTCGCTAAATCGTTCGATCGGTAGTAGAATGATACTACTAGTATCATGGGTAGTAGCGACTGGCGGTGTGTACAAATGGCAGGGACGTAATCAACGCGAGCTTATGACTCGCGCTTACTAGTCCGGGCGCTAAAGGGTTTGAGCATGCATTGAAAGTCGAACGCAGTTTGACTTTTGATTATTGTTGGGATCATATAGTAGATGAAAAAAATCGATGTCGTCGCATTTCCGCAGTGAACATCACATGAGGGGAAGGGGGCAAGGTCGCGCGCGTGGCGATTCACTTTATAGTTTCTAACTCAAAGACGGTAATAGTTAGAGCAATGCTTGAAGCGGCTATTTTCAGCTACTTATATTGCCTACAAAAAAGGCCCTAAGGATAAAAGTCGTACCTTTAACCGTAGGTAACTATTACCGTCTTTGAGTTAGAAACGATAAAGTGAATCGCCGCGCGCGCGACTTTGCCCCCTCCCCTTCATGTTATGCCCACCGCGGAAATGCGACGACATCGATATTTTTCATCTACTATATGCCCCCAACAGTAATCAAAAGTCAAACTGCGTTCGACTTTCAATGCATGCTCAATACGTATATTAGCGCCTGGACTAGACTGGGAATTCCTCGTTCATGGGGAAGAATTTCAAGCCCCAATCCCTAGCACGAAGGAGTTTCAGCGGATTATCCGGGCCTCTCGGCCGAGGGCTATCTGCACACATGCTGATTCCTTCAGTGTAGCGCGCGTGCGGCCCAGGACATCTAATGGCATCACAGACCTGTTATTGCTCTCTATAGCGCGGCTTCGAGCCGCTTGTCCCTCTAAGAAGATATGATGTGATTCTTTGTGGTTTTCTTCATTTTTTTGCGCATGTTATATACCAAAATTAACGCAAATTGTTTTACCTCGGTTACCATTAAAAACATTAAGCGCGCCTAAATACCCTTATAATAAAAACTTTTAAATTATATAAAGGGGGGCTGGATACAGAATTGGAGGAGCTGCTGCCCTCCCTAAAAAGGCCTAGGTACGCCACTGGCCACCTGTACTTAAACGATAGTCATTTCGATACAGATTTTCATTAAGATCCAAGTTTACGACCAATAGAAATGCAGAATCACGGAATAACGACGCATAGTTTATGAAAATCAAAGTTGCCATACCAATGACAGATCTAATATTTATTAGTTTTGACAGCTGCTGGGCATAGCGAATTTGTGTTCTCTCCCAATTCCCATACGAACTTAGACTCCTATTCTTGAACCGCTCGATAAAAATCGGTGAGTGGGTAACTTTGTCATCGGTGACTCACTCACTCACCAAATTCCGTATTCTTGACACTAATTGAAAACCGCTCGAGTTTGTCAACTTGGCACCACTGTATTCTCACTTTTTTCTCATGTCACTTGTTTGAATCTGTCAAATTGTGATTCATTGCGCTTGCGTTTGTAATTTTTGCGATTTATTCAAATTTAAAATTAAAATATGTCTCGCGCTTCAGAAGAGCAAAAGCTGATACTTGTTCAGTTTTTAAAAAAAAATAAAAACGTCGTGGCAGGGAAAACGTCACCTAATTTTACCAACAAAAATATACACGAGAAGTGGAAGACGGTTGCAGCATCTTTGAATAGCACTGGAAGGCCTTACAAAGATTGGAAAAATTGGCGAAAAGTAATGTTTTCATTAATATGCAACTCAATACCTTATTAAAGCTATATATATTGTTGCAATTTTAGACTTGGCAAGATTTATATTCTCGCGTAAAGGCGAAAGCTGCCAGAATCAACCGGTCAACAAACCAAACAGGTGGCGGTCCCCCCAGTGATGAAAAATTGACCACATTCGAGCAGGATATTGTGGACACTTTTATCAAGCCGGTAGTGGTAGAAGGAGATTCATTAATTAAAGAAAGTGTCTGCAATTTCCATGCGAATGATACAAGTATATAGGCTACGATTTTGTAACAACTTTCACGTTACAATTTTTCCTTGTCCTTTTAGCCACATCCATGATCTCCAATTCCAGTGGTGCAATTGTTCATCCCATAATATTGAACCCTGTTGACGAAGTCGACATCGAGGTTATCAACATTGACGAGGTAACCAAAATCCCACCTACGCAACCCACGACATCCAAGAATCTAACCAGTTCAGCAGCTTCAGAAATTGTTAAAAAAGGGAAGAAGCGAACGGCAGAAGAATCGAGGGCGGAATATGCAGAATATTTGAATAAAAAATTAAAAATAAAAAAAGACTATTACGACGCAAAAATTGAGCACTTACGGCAACAAACTGTTTTAATGGAACAGCAACTCATTATTAATACACAATTGCTAGAATTAAAAAAACTTAAATATAGCTCCAACTAATGGTAATATGTAAAATATAACGACAAACGATTTTTATTGATAATTACATAATGATATAAATTTTCTAGTTGTATAATTACAAGTGCTGGGGAGCGGCTAATAAATTTTTCAGTGCATTTTCCTAAAAGAAAATTAAAGCTGTTGCCTGCACTTGGTCCATCTGGGCCACTACTACTCCTCCGTTTTAAGCTTTTTCTTCGTGATTTTTTTCTTATACAGTGTAGCACTGCTTCAAGACCAGATCGACAAAAGATTTTTTGGACTAGTCACTTCCTTCCTGAGAAAATACCCTTTCGTCGGTCTGTAGTGATTGTGTCTACTAGTTTATGATTATTCTATTGTGCACATTTGAAATGTACATCAACACATGTATTTCAGTAGGTGAGAACCTATTTTATACAGAATTTCTTATATAATCACACGCCAGCTCTAGTGATTATGACGATAAGTAATAAGCTAAACTAGAAAATAACTATACAAGCATTGATCTATATTAAATGTGAGTGATTCGTACAGAGGTTAACCACAAATGTAGCATACCAAAATATTCAAGGTCTAGTTTGATAAGATTTCACGAATTCTGTTTTATGAAATATTGTCAAGCCTATAGCAATTCATTCACATTTACATTGTGAAAAATATGCCAGATTTTTATGAAAATATTAATTAAACATAATTGCTCTCTCAAACGACTTTTAACAAATTAATTATTTATGAATCGGCCAGCAATCAGTGCAGTCCGGAGTAATGTAAAGTCTCACCGTCATTAATGTCCTGATTATCAAACTCATCCAGATCCTCCACCAAATTGCGCTCCATACAAATATTATGCAAAACTACACACGAATTTATAATTAGAGCTGCCCTATGAGGGGAATAATGTAAAACTCGATGTTTCAAAAGACACCGGAACCTGCTTTTCAAAACACCATTGCAGCGCTCTATGGAAGCCCTTGCGCGTTTATGGGCACAGTTGTAATTGTGTTCTGGTGTACCCTCTTCAGGTTCAACTTCCAAAGGTGTTAAAAGCCAAGGCCGTAAAGGATAGCCACTATCTCCTACAAAAACGTACAACACGTTTTATCATTTCATTGATTTTATTGAGAATGTACTAACCAAGTAAAAAATAGGTTCCTCGTCTCTCTGCATGGATGGTACGCATTACCTCTTGGACATTAGAATTATTCCAAATGAATGCATCGTGGGTACTTCCAGGATGAGATGCTTTTACGTTCAATATCTTAAGATTTGAATCGCAAATGAGCTGAACGTTTATCGAATGAAATCCTTTGCGATTTATGTACAAGTGTCCTGGTCGATCGGGATCTTCCGCGGGGGGCGCCACAATTGCCACGTGAGTACAATCTATACAGCCGACAACACCAGGGAAGTTGTACTTTTCGAAAAAACCCATTCGTACTCGGTCCAGTTCCTCGAAGTTATGAGGGAATCTTACAAATCGATTGAAAATCGCTGGGACATTGAAAGCATCGCTCACTTCACTGATGCATCGACTTACAGTCGGTTGGGAGACAGACATGAACAAGTTGGAGCCTACATCCATCTGATAAGATCCCGAAGCAAAAAAGCGTAATGCAATCAATATCTGCCATATAAGAAAAGAAACCAATAAGCTGTAAGTGGAAAATTTTCTTTACTTACACGAATGGGAATCTCCAAATCTGAAGCTCGATTTGTTGGTCTCATATGGGGGGACAACACCTCCACAATAATCCTAAACAGTTCCTTGGGAAAACGAAACATGTTTTTAAACTGGACATCGCTAAGAATGGCAATTGCGTCAGCCCGGGGTCTTTGAACACGGACAACTTCTTCTGCTTCCTCTTCGGCGTCCAGCAAATCCAACATAACCAGTTCGTCCATTTTAATTTCTTGAATGAATCTTTATATACTTAGCAAAACTGTGGTAAAAACAGAGGTGTAAAAATTGTACACTTCACACGGATTATGCACACTTTCGCGAGCAAAATGATAATCGTTAAAAAGAAGGAAGTTTAATAAACAGTTTCGTATAAATAAATAATAAAAATCGCCTAGAAATCACAGGAGAACGAGCACGAAAATTTATCAAAAGCGAGGTTAGATTTCATTCATAAATCATATAAACACTGAGAAACGACAAGGTGAAAGGATGCATAAAATACTCACGAAAAGCGTGACGGTTTTATTTATTGCCTATACTTTAGGAAAATATACGAGTAAGATCACCAAAAATCAGTTTAAAAGGATCGCACAACTCAAGTCACTGAAAAAAAACTGATCGACTGAAAGCGCTCGACATGTGACAGTGTGAGTCAACCACTCGAACGGTTTAAAGCGTCAAGAATACGAAAATATGAAAATCGCTCGAGATGACGTCATACTCACTCACTCACACGGTAGTCACGCGTTCAAGAATAGGGCTCTTAATCGTAAGATTTCAATCAGCGGTCATTAAATTTGACAGTGACTCTCCGCTGAAACGCATTACCATGACTGCGCATGCTTTAAGGTCCCTGACTTCACTATCTGCACGTAATAAAAATCTCAAATTTTGGACCGCTTTTGAAGCCACCGTGGAATCACCTCTTGTAGCTCATCATTTAAAAACCTGAAAATAATGCCATTAGCAAGTTTATACATCCAAGAATGTTTAATCCATACCTTTAAATAAAAGCGTATCATAGCGAACACTGTAGCTACGGTTCCGGAGCACAACACAAGAAGCAAGAATAAAAAATCCTCCTACAAGGGCCACAGCATAGGACGGAATTTTTTCACAAAAATTTTGTATTGTCGGCATAAAACTTTCTAATAAATTACCAGATGATATTAAGGAACTAGTTAATTTAATCAAATTCAAAAGTAAAATCAGATATCTGCTGTTAAATGGTAGTTTTTACAACATAAACGAGTTTTATGAGTCCACTCTAGATATTTAGATTTTTACCAAGATTTTTTTAATAGTTTTTGTTGTACGTTGTATTGTTTGTGAATACTTGTACATTAGTGACATGTCCATATACATTTTTGTAAACGTCTTATAACTGGATAAATATATTATTATTATAGTCGTAGAAAAAATAGTGTATGAAACTCGCATTTAATGGCTATTATGACACTCATATTCATTACGAAACTCGCCAATTCTCATACTCGTGTCTTAATAGCCATCATTAATAATGCTCATTGCATAATATACTATTATTATAAATTATCTTTCACAAAATAAAAACTTGCATCGGCCGGGAATCGAACCCGGGCCGCCCGCGTGGCAGGCGAGCATTCTACCACTGAACCACCGATGCTTATTGTAAAGATAGAGTTTGTACTGGGTAGTGAACGTAATTACAATTTAGGTATTTTTAGCGCATTTCCACAAAAATAAAAAAAAAATGCGCTATTGTGGCCACTTTGTCCGTCCGTCCGCTAACTTTGCGACGCTACTAGTTTTTTATCTTAAGAGCTATTGTTCTACTTTTTTCGCTATTTGGTTCGTTATGGTGTCGAGTCTTGTACCAAGGAAGGAATTTTTTCTGTACCGCTTACAAAAAAAGTTATTGTAAAAAAAACAAAAAACCGTTTTTCACATGTTCCATAATTTTACACTTTTGCCGTTTATTAACGATCCTAGAGATTTTTTTTTTTTGAAAGGAACAAATTGTTTAATGAAAATAATAGAACAAGAACAAATTACATATAAGAACGAGGTTTTAAAACATAATAAATTTCATGAAAAGAATTACTAAAAAAAGGTAAAGTTCCTAAAACACATTCGGCGTTGCCTTTTTGAATTTCTATACCTATCCGTTGGTAAATAAACTGGGTTGAGCGGGACTCTCCTGTTTTTTGCCTGAGTCTTTTACCAATTGCCGCTGTCATCATTTTGGCTTCATTTCCCCACGGACCCATGGTTTCTACAGCGAATCCGTTAAAAATAAATGTAGGTTCTAAAGCAGCGTAAGTATTTTTCTTTCTGCGTTCAGCTAAAGCGGCTGCAGAACCTGCTTTTTTCACCGAGGAGAAGAGATATGAAGGACATAAGGTATCAACACAAGTAAAGTCCCATGCCATGGTGTTAAAGTTCTCCCATCGGGTCGTTTTTTATCAATTCCAAAAAGATGAGGAGGTTCTAAGATGACTGAATAACCAAGTATTTTTTTTTCTGCGTTCAGCTAAAGCGGCTGCAGAACCTGCTTTCTTCACCGAGGAGAAGAGATATGAAGGACATAAGGTATCAACACAAGTGAAGTCCCATGCCAGACATCTTCCTTCCATCCAAGGTGTTAAAGTTCTCCCATCGGGTCGTTTTTTATCAATTCCAAAAAGACGAGCAGGTTCTAAGATGACTGAATAACCAGCCTCATGGAATGCTCTTTTCTGACATTCTAAGATGTTTCGATGGCGACTGTACTTTCCTGTGTTCTTCTGACAAGATAAACCATGATGCCTAAACTTATCCACATTGACACCACATTTACAAATATGAGGAGTACAAACTGTAGCACCTAAGCGTAAAGCAACACTTATCTGCAAAACAGAATCTTCAAGATGTGTGGAGATTTGCCTTGCAGGAAGAGCTAGTAACCAAGCGCCTGACTCTTTTTCTTTCAGTGCTAACAGCCTTGCTTGGTGTACTGGATCATTGACGAATTTATTGAACAATTGATCGAATCACTTTTCAACCAAAGGAGTGTCCCAAGATTTTTGGATGTGACGAATTTCTTCAGCAGGTTCTTGAGATTCAGCAAGTATCTTCCATTGGTTAATTGTATCAGAAATCCATTCTGCATCATTGCAATCAATAATCTGAGAAACGACAGGAAGCACGAAAAAGATCGAAGCCAAATAGGCTGGAAGGGCTAATCTTTCCGTACTTCTGACTCCCAAACCACTATTATTAACAGGCAGATTGGACTGTAACGATACTGTATCAGTCATTTCAATATTACAAACAGATCCAATAGCTTTTATAAATTCATTATCAAGAGCAGCTAGGCAGTCAGTAACAAGGAATGCAGGAGAAGTACGTAAAACGTACAACAGCTTTGGTACAGCTAGACAATTCTTGAGTAAAAATAGTCCATGATGAGCTGATATTAATTTTAAACGAGTCGACAAAATTTTGAAATTTTCTAATTTGGCCATAAGACAAGTCTTTATAGAGGATGTATTCAGAGGAGATCCCAATAACATAAAGGATTTCAGATCTGGAAACTGAATACCTGGAGCTGCACGAAGGATACGAGAAAAAACCTCCTGTTTCTGTTCTTCGGATCCGCCTGTACAAAAAGCTTCACATTTTGCTACATTTAGATGCAGTCCTAATTCAATAGTTGAATTTTTGATGGATTAGAGATCATCTAAAACTGTGTCAAATTCACCACCTAAAGTCCAATCGTCAAGGTAGCCAACTTTAAAAGGAGATTTCAGGTTTTCAGTTTATCCAAGCACATTAGACAAAATAACAAAGGTCCTAACGGGTCACCTTGTTGTACTCCACAAGCTGATAAAATGACATTCTTGCCGTATGATAACGAAGATGGAAATCCATAGGCTTGATGTATAAATTTGTAGTATGCTGGGAAAAGGTTCATCCAAGCAGAAAGAACTTTGTCACGACGAACCATATTAAAGGCATTAGTAAAATCCAATTTCAGTAAAACCTTGCAAGAGTCAGAATTAACTTCAATGAATCTTCTAGCACCATGAACAACTGCTTCTGCACCTCCCTTAGTTCCAAAACCCAATTGGTAAGGTCTACAAAACTCTCCAGCTCTCTGATGTACACGGGAACAGATGATTTTCGCAACTAAACGCCGTAGAGTCATTCCAACGGCAATAGGCCGTACTCCTCCATCCTTTTTATTCAGAGCTATCAGTGAAGCTCCAAAGAAAATATGACGGAAGAATTCAGGTATTTCCCCTCGTACTATCAAATTCACAAGTCGTGTTAGTGATAATCCAAGCTGATATGACGGATGTTGAAGATCCAATGACTTTCCAAGCAAATCTTTAAAATGTTGTGGTCGAAAACCATCAATACTTCCAGCGGAATCGTGAGGAAAACTTGCTACAGCAGATAACAATTCTTTCAAAGTAATTTCCGGAAATGGTGGCAAATCATCTGGAATAGGCAAGAGATCAATATCAGGGGGAGACAGTGGATGTTTCATTTCCAGCATTCGAAGGGAATCCTCAGAGTAAGCAGCGATAGAGTCATCTGAACATAGAATACGTACAGCTCCGCTAATATTTCCAGCTTCAATTTTCGAAGTAACCCGACGACCTAAAAGATTATCGCCGTGTCCAAAAACTCTGTTTGCAGATTTACCCTCTCCAAAAAGATCTGATGTATCACTTAAATTAGAAAGATTCTTGAGGTTTCGTTTAATCACAGTAGTAAGAGAAGTTTTTCGGTCAGTTTTTTTTTATCCAGGTAATTTGAAAACCTTATATGCAAACAAAGACAGTTGCTTCCAACTTTCAAAAGAGTTTTTATCAATGCAATTATTGATAGTGTCGGACAAAGAATCAGCAATAAGTTCACAGAGAGACCGTGGAATCCTTTTTATCAGTGTAAATGAATGTTTTAGTGTCTGCAAAGTAGAAAGCAGATTATCGTGATTAATGACATCTGGAGTTGTCCTATCATTTTGAACCGTCTGATTTTTTTTTGTCAGAAGAAGCTTCTTACATTTAACCGAGTTAAAGTGTCTTTTCAAACCATGTTTCGTCATGCACAAATGATTGCATTGTGAGCAGCGAAATCCAACATCAGAGTCATAAATCTGATCTGATGTTTGTTGTAAATTGACGTCGGGATTTTCGTGTTGGTGCGCACCGGTTCGTCGGGGTGTGTCGGGCCTGCGAATCCACGGGAAGTTAGGCGTGCCAACTCACGCATCTTCTTGTGGACCGCGCGCGGGTTGGAAGCATCTCCTTCAGGAGCACCAACGAGAGGCAGCCCGGACCACCTCCCGATCCACGTTCCACCCCCAGCCCGGGCGCCTCTTCCACTTACGGACTGAGCGTCGGTCTAGAACCACAGAGCAGAGGGCCGCATCAGCCGGTTCAGCGGTCTGCGGCGGACTGGGACCTCTGGCTCCACGCCGCCTCTTGGCTTGGGTGGGATTGGGTGGGCAGGCAGTTCTTGAAGATTAGCCAGCCTCGGGCGCTTGCTGCTACGCAGCCGCTGGCCAGATGGGCGGCGAGGGTGGAGGGGATACCTCCACCTTGATGTCAGGGAGCAGAACGCCCCCCGACGGCATGAGCCCCCCCTCCACCAAGGAAGGATGGGGCTTATGGAGAGAGGCCCTAAAAAGGGCCAGCGCGCTGGGCCAGGCCCAGTAGCCGTGGCCGGGACTCAGCCTAGAGATCGTTTATAATTTTGCATTGCTATCTGTCGCCTGCCGGTTGGTCTCTCCGTCTGTTCCTTTGTCTGTCTGTCCATCTATCTGTCCGTGTGAACGATAACTTTGTTTAGAAATGTTCGATCGCTTTTACATCTCCGTTAGTTATGAACTGAATTGCATGAAATTCAATATGGGCATAGATTTAGCCATATAATACGCAATGCCAAAAGTTGAATCGAATCGATTCAAAATTCACAGTGCCCTTTTCGCATCTCGACCATTTATAAGCCGAATTGCAAACTTTTTTACTTATAAAAGTATTTGAATGAAATTTGATACATAGGCACTTGGAATAAAGGAAAATCAAACGCCAATTTCAAAATTTGGTTTTGCGCATGCGCAGTGTCAACTTTTTTATTTATGGAAGAATTTAAACGAAATTTGATACATAGGCACTTGGGATAAAGGAAAATCAAACGCCAATTTCAAAATTTGGTTTTGCGCATGCGCAGTGCCAACTTTTTTATTTATGGAAGAATTTAAACGAAATTTGATACATAGGCACTTGGGATAAAGGAAAATCAAACGCCAATTTCAAAATTTGGTTTTGCGCA